AGAGCCTAGTTAACTAGAATGTTTGTGTTATTTTAGTAAATTTGAATGTGATTGTTTATAACGTTGTAATGTTTTAAAGACTTGGTCATGGAACAAGATCATGCTGTGCTAAGAGTTCGCACAACATGTCTTTACTTCAAGAAACATTCAGTCTAGGCATAAGACAAGAGATAAATTGATGGATATAGGCAGCATGCTGACATAATGCTACAGCATTGGTCCACAGGACAGACAACAAAATTCCTGCTCTTTCACAACCGGGTAGATTGTCATATATATCCTGACATAATATTTTGACTTAAAGATGCCTGTGTGTTATCTGTACCGTGTGCATATGATGTTACTGGAATACTTGAGTTGTATTGACAATGCAAACTAAACACAGAAAATGTAGTCACCACCTTGCTAAATCATGTGTGCTTTATTGCCTTGTTAGATAAAGCTGCCCCTTGGCAGCTTTTCCCATCATCTTTGTTTTATTAATGAGTAGTTTTGCCTTGCATTTTGAAACAGGCCATTCCTCTTCTGGCAGGCCATGCTTTCTGGGGATGCTAATGCTGTTGTGTGTAAGTGATGACTCTCAACATGGGAAAGATGTGTAAGTAATTTATGAATTAAAGCCTTTTATAGGCTATTGAACAAACACATCCAACTGCATTAGAATGAGATTATCCAGTTATGTGTTTTTAAAAGAAATTCTTTTCTTTTTACTTGCATTTATGGAAGTAGTCCAGCCCAGGGTCTCTTTCACCACAAAATGGTGACAAACAGGAAATTCTGTTGGGTTGTTTCTGGTCTTCTGTTTAACCCTTTCAGGGTTTAGAGCTTCTATTTCATTTTGATAGTGGACATGCTGGTGAAGTGGAAAAATTTTTGGTGTGCTTCAGCGCAGCAAGTCTAGTTATGAGACACATCACTGGGATGTTTGAGTTATTCCTCTGGTTCTGAGGACAAGATTAAAGACTGTGTGTGAAATACAGTTCCTTTTGACGTTACTAGACAAACACCTATTGACTTCAGTAGGTCCAAGTCATTGCTCTGTCTACATACGTGCTTTAGAACTTCATTTATGATAATGAAATTTGGTTATTTTCAAAGAAAATACATAAACCTCGCCTAACTAGTATAGCATTTTGTATTTTACCTTATTTGTGAAATTAATCAGTCTGATTAAAGCAAAATTAAAGCAAAGGGAAGATTAGAGGCAGTATAGCCAAAATCTAACTCAGCCGGGCATACCTCTGCCTTTTGTTTTGAAGAGATTCTCAGAAAATAAAAGCTTGGAAATGTTGCTGCCTAATTAGTCAGCTTTGTTGGGGAGTTTTTCAAAGACACATAACCCCTGCCAAAATCCATTTGCTGAATAGATTATCGTAGATAGGTAGATTGGCGTCATCTTGTAAACAACTTCATGTATGTAGTCCAAGAATTGCAGTACAAAAGGGTTTCATTTTCTCTGTTTTTTTTTTTTTTTTTGCTTGGATTAGTAACAAGATGAGGCAGAGTAAGAAAACAAATGTATGACTTTATTGGAAACCTGCTAATGTTTGATTTTTATGTCCTTTAACACAATTACTATGTTAACTGTTGGCTGGCAGAACAAATGGAAGGAATATGTGTATTATCAATACTTTTAATGATTTTCCTCCTATCCCTCTTTTAGGGTAAAATTGCATTTAAAGCATATTTTGTGCAGTTCCCATTTTTACTCTCAAAAAGAAATTTAAACACCAGTCTGATAAATAAGACTTTGAGTTTATTTTGATGCCATACAACCACAAGGGTGTCACTTGTGTTCTTAACAGATCTTGGGAGGCATTTCCCTTGACTTCCAGTGCACCTGTCAGTCTTACATAGTCAAATGTGTGAGTTCGGAACACTGTAGTGCTGCTCATTTAGGGCGTCTGTGTGAAAGTTAGGGAATTATAGACTGAGATCTTCATTGCTGGTACCCATTTCTCAACTGTGGATTGGACTGAATCACAGGGTCTGTGGGAAGATTAATATTTTGATTCAGATTTCATTGCTTAGCCTCATCAAGATGCTATTGTACGTCAAGTGGATTTTAATGGGAAACAAATCTTTTCTCAGTTCTGTTTATTCTTTAATTTCATAATTTTCTCTGCCCACTATTTTCACCATTGATACTTCTTCACTTTCCTCTTGTGCTGTTGAATTCTTTCACTTGTGTTGATCTCTTCCATCTCAAAACTCCAGATTTCTCTCTTGTCCACACCGTTTGTTTCCACGTTGCCTTTTCCTTGTGACATACTAAATTATTTTCCTCTGTAAAAGTCGAGACATACAGTGTCTGTCTGCTACAGAGCTCCTTTCCTGTGCTGCCAATATATCTCACTGAACTGAGTTGTTGATTCTTATTCTGTGTCGTTTCACCTTTTACTACTTCTCTCTCTGAAGAACATTCCTATTCATGTTGGAGGTATCTTTCTTTACTCTGGTGTTCATTCTAGGACAATTATTAAACCCGTATCTTCCTTTCCTCAGCTCTCCAAGAAGTCCAGATCAGCCCTGTCCTTTCTCCTTTATTTTGTTGTGGCCACTGTGACTCCCTGTTGTTGCTTTAGCTAATTTGTCACATTCTCTGTTAAAGGATCTGAAGGCCTCTGCAAAGTTTGGAAGAGTAGTTAAAAGTAGTTGCAGTAGCTGAGAATAGCAGACTTCTAGCAGGATAGTGTTGATTTGAGTCTCTATGAGATGTGAGAAAGGTAGGAAAAGTAAGAGTGGAGATGATGCAGTATGTACGGAAACCTCTGTGCTTGAATTGTGTGATTTACCAGTGCACACTCCACAAGGTGCAGTGCACAGTAGATGACGACTTCTTTTGCAAGATCACCCTTGTAGTAAGAGTTACTGTTTCTAGAAAAGACACTTCCAAATGGGAATATCCCAAAGCTTAACCACTTAAGTATCATTGTGTTCTTGTGGATGTTAAGTTCTGGGCATTTCAACCCTTTTAGGAAATCAAAGAATTCTTGTCCATATGTGATGAGGAAGTAAGACTTACAGACCTGATCTTTTTCTTTTATCATGGCCAATGCTAAGCCTTTACAAATTAGGCAGTTGCCTGGGACGTAGCAAAACAGCCCTGAGGGTGTCCTGAGGTGTTCTCTGGGCCCCTTCCTATCCGGCTGGAACAGGCTTGCTCTCTGCTCTCTCCGTTCCCCCGCTCAGGGAGGTCTGCAGTGCCAACACGGAACAAGCTCTCCCTAGTTCTCACTGAAAAAAAATACATGAGGTGTCCAGCATAAGGCAGAGGAGCAGGCAGATTCCCTGTTGCTGTCGGTAGAGGAGTAAGGCGGCAGCGACACACTTTCCCCACCGGTGTCTTTCACCACCAACCCCCCCGCCTTCCTTCCCTATCCCATTAGCCCACATTCTCTTCCTGCCCAGCCCTCCAGTGCTGCCTAATTTCATTTACAGGGGCTGCTGCCAGATCTGCTGGCAGCTGCAGTTTCTTGAGGAGGAGGAGGAGGAGGAGGAGGAGGAGAGAAGAGAGCACGATCCAATTTTTGTAGTTGTGTTACCTAAAGGTTGAGCTGCCTGCTGTTTAATTGGACACTTGAGTAACTTAATGGTGATGGGGTGAGGTCATTCAATAAGCCTCCAGCTATGGACAATCATGTTTTTAGTAGAATTGGGGCGGGGACTGGTTTTTCGTGATTAAAGTACAGGGGTATTTTTAAAAAAAAAATAAAAAAAAATTCTGCAAATTTAAGAACTTAAGTGCAGGTGCTGAAGAAGGGGGTGCTCATACTCTAGGAACTGGAACAGAGAATCCCCAGGGGAAGGGAAGAGCCAGCTGCTGCCAACCCCTGGAGTTTTTGGCTTCTCAGACTGACCGCTATTGCAGCTGCGCTGTCTTGTCACTTCCCGTCGCACCCCTGAGCCCTCCCTAACAAACATTAGCCAACCTGAGTCCTGTAGCGAGAGGCTGGTCTCCCTTTTGTCTCGGCTTCCTCTCAGGTACAGCACTGCTCCTTGTAACCTCGCAGGTTCCTCCTAAGCCCCAGTGGGAGAGTGCTCATTCTTACCTCTTTGCTCACACCGGTTTTGGCCCCTAACACTTACTGGAGCCCCATCCTGTAAAGATGCGAGCCGGCGCCGTGGGCGAGGTGCAGTGAAGCTCGCACGCGAGAGGTCTGGGGGGTAGGGGAGGGCTTTGGAGGCAAATGTTTGGAGTAGAGCTCAGCCCTCCGGGCTCTCCGCAACCGCCGGTGTGGTCTCTAGATGGAGCACGTTCTTACACCTGCGTGCAAAGCCGGAGCTACGGCATGATCTGAGCTCTTGCTTAGTGCAGCTCCCGTGTGACCGGGGAGAGGGCGGGGAGGAGACGGGGCTGGCGGCGGAGCCGGTGTTTTGCAGTGAAGTACGATGGAAGTAGGTGAAAGCAACCGGAAAGGTTTTCTGGCTTATTTCTTCCTTTCCCCTCTGTCACCTGCATGCATCCCTCCCCCAGCATATGTGTAAGAGCACACGTGCTGGTGAATCAACGAGAAGTTTAAAGCGTCTGGTTTGCTTTTTGTGCGTTTGAGGGTTGTGAAAGTTGCTGTGGCCAGAGCCGTGAGGAGAGGGCACTACTGAATACACCGTCGTGGGCCGAGTCAATCTTCCCAAAACTGTGGTCTGGAAGGTGCGGAGTATCCCTTGGTGAAGTGTGTGCAGGGGAGGAGGAGTGCTTTGTGAGGAGACGTCTGCACGATATGGTGGTTAGCGGTATGTCAGGGAGCTATTCAGAGTGACAATTCATTAACGTCTAAATTAGATTAACATATTACATTCATTATTTACAGGCGAAAGAGAGTAATGACAGTGAATGGTGAATTAGCAGCTTTGCTCCAATGTAAATATCTGTTGGAGTAAGAGCATACATTGATTCTGCTAACATGTTGGTAGAAAGTCAGGTCCGTTAATCATCAGGGAAGGAAGGAGACCTGAGGTGTTGTCTTACTGAAACCACTTTTACCTTTTACAGTGCAACGTTCAAAAGCGGATCAAATTTGTGGGACATGGCACAAGGAAATAATTATGGGCAAAGCAGCAACGGGGTGGCTGATGAATCCCCAAACATGCTGGTGTACAGAAAGGTAAGCCTTTGTGTTTTTCAAGAGCTGAGGAAGGGACTTCAGGAAATGGTGAAGTCCTGGACTCTTGCCTAGCAAGTGAGGCCATTATTTTCGCTGTTTCTCTCCAATTTCATGAATAGATGCTGCTGCTGTGCTGTGTGTTGAATGGAGCAGTCTGATTTCAGAACACGATCACCTGCCACTAATTTGGAATGTTTTGTGTCTGTTGACATTTGTGCTGCCTAATGCGTAATAAATGGCACGTGCAAAGTAGATCTATATCCCAGGTACTACTACTGACTCCTGTTTTGAGAAATCACTGGATCTGTTGTTTTAAATGGTAAAATATGCACACGTGTCAACTTTGCGTCATGTTCAGAAACAGTTGGTTTTCAATTTGAAATACTCGATGTATTTCATTCACTTTCTGCATTGATACATATGATGTGTGATGGTGGTGATGTGCCAGAGACTGGAACATGTTTTGAGTTCAAGTGTTCCCTTGTAAAATCTATTTGTAAAATGAATTCATGTGTTTTAAAGCTAAATATTAACTGTATGATACAATATTTTGTATTTCTGTCTCTGGGCAAAGATTTTCAGAGTGCAGGGAAGTCAGAACCATTAACTTATTTCATATGAGGGGAAAAACTGATTAAAGATACTACTTATCTGCAATCACCACAACTTAAAAAAACCAAATGCATATACTCCAGGGATTCTCTCTGGGAAGGATTTCTAATGTAGTTATTCTAATAGCATCAATATACACATTTCCAGACATTGATCTCCAGTAGTGGGGCTTATTTAGCCACTGTGCTTTCACTTAAGTGACAGTAAATGCTTGGGGATTTTGAGATGCGTTTATACGCATTATTTTTTTTATAAAGCTTTAATTACATTTATCAAAAAAGAATAACAAAATAAATTCTAATAATAATGGAGAAAAAAACCTTTGCTGTCACAAACTGAAATACATAATTATGCAACTACTTGTTTATTCCTACAACACAGTGCTTTCTAACTTGTGTGTGGTTGTTTTTATCAGGTGGAAAAAAATCAATATTTTTACTTTTTTAGAGACATTGACTTTTCTTTTTGCAAGTCAACTGTAATAGAAAGCATCTGATATATACTCAGGTTAGTCTTTGATGTGAACTGAGGTATCATCAGTAACTGTGGTAAGTGTTCTTTTCCTAGAAATTGAAAAACAGTCTCAGATTGAAGTCTGATGCGCGCTTTTATCACTTCCTATTTTCAGATATGTTGCTGATTTCAGTTAGTTGGTCGTATTTGCTATTTTGAAAAATTAGACTCTTTTTACATAAGTGAATGAATTTATGAACTTACCCTTAGTTATCCATCTATGTTAGAATGCACATCTAGAAAAATACAGGGTTACTTTGCCATTAACACCACAGGTGTGTTTCAAAATGCAATTGTATGCATGAATTTATATGTGAAAATATGCTGCATATATTAAAAGCAATATACCAAAGCTTATATTGTTCTTTATAGGTTTTTGATCTTTATAAACAGAATCTTTCCACATTTGTGAGGTACTTCCATGCTGAGAAACAAGTCTTTTCTCAGCTTATTTAGTACACGGAGGGGGAACACAGAGAAACTGTTTCTTTTCTCCTGTGGTGACTTTGTCTGAGGAACTGGTCAAGCTTGTGACCCAGCATATGTAGTGTGACCTCATGCCAAAATTTAACATTGCCCCTGAGCAGTCTCCAGATTGAAACGGAACTGCTGAGGCAAGTGATGAGAATCCTGGTGATGCAGGGGAAATTTGAAAATGGGGAGCGGGGATAGGACACAAAACCTCAGGTGTATGCTCAGCAAATCAAAGCATCAAACACTTTTCAGTTCTCTGTAAATCGGCAGTAAAGGGGTGATATCAGTTCGTGTCTTCCAGCGTAGCAGTGGTCCTTCCCTTGTTGTCGCTAAAGTGCAAGCGGTGCACTGAGTATTAAACTTCCAAAGAATGCTGACCTTCTACAGCATTACCTGCCATATTTATTTTTGTGCATGTCAACTTATTTTGGTAGCATGCCGAATCAAAAGATCATTTAAGATTGCGCACACTGGTGTTAGAGTGCAGAGAGAAAACTTTGGCAGTATTCAAGGAATAGGCAACAAAACGATAGATAACTTTTTAAAAAGTCACCTGCCTTTTTCTGCAGTATGATATTGCTGTAATCAAATGTGTTATAAATTCTATGTCTAGAACATAAGAGGAGGATAGTTAGGTGCAAATCATTTCACTTCAGAATATATCATCTCTGAATATAATTCTTTAATAGCAACAACTAAATCACAGGATTCCTTATAATACATTTGAAAACACAATACTTCTCTGTCTGTCATTGTGTTGGAAATGAAAGCACTGTGCAGAGTGAACAAAGAACTAGATCTGCCAGCTTCATGAAGGACTCTCTTTTTTGGCCAACTGGAAAAGTATTAATAGTTGTTAAAAAAAAAAAGTAAATGTGCTATTGGCTGGCTTCAGAAGGAAACTGAATTTGAAGTCTTATATTTTGAATAACGTTGCTGAAATCCACAAATGTGGAAATGCTTTCTTCCAGTAGTTTATACAACATCAACACATGGAATAGCATGCATTTTGTGATATGTGTACCTGCAAGGAACAGATGGGACATCTCTTACTACTTGTGTTAATGAAGAACTAAAATTTGGCCATGCTGAATGAAGACGATTACTTTGGCTATAGAACACAATTTTGTAATCTGGTAATCCTGCTAGTCTGTCTAACTTTCAGACACAATCTGAACTAAGCATGTTCTAAACTACAAGGAGTTACAGCCCTGGGTTTCCTGAATCCTGATTCTGTCAGGAGCATTTTATAGAAAATTCTTTACAGAATGAAGTTCTGGTGTTTACAAATTCAGTACTTAGGCCTTGAATCTTTATAGAATCATTATTGAACTTTAAGTAAATCGCAAACTCCTGACAAGAAAGGCTGTTTTTCTACTTTTTAAAAATGTATTTGGTTTGTGATTAGTTACTTATTTGAAAGGTTGAAGACAGACAGATTATCAAATTGTAATCTAGAGTAATATAGAGTGTAGATAGCCTGTTATTCCCATAGTAGCTTGTATTCATAGACAAAAAAGGGTTTCATTGCATTTTGCTTTCAGATATGAAATATTTTTTTTAAAAAACAGCATAGGATAATTAAATATTCAACGCATACATAAATTAGAATTACTTATTTGAATCTATGATGGAAAAGACAGCAGCACAGATAAATAGTTCCTTATATCATTTTTACACTGCCTTTTAAGATGCTTGTGTCAGTATTTTTATGCCTTGGGGAATACTTTTTATTTTAATAGAATATCAGCTGCGTTATTCTTTTTGGCTATCAGCCTAATTATAAAGTAATGACATGTGACACATCGTTGGTACTGACATACCTTAGAAAAAGTCCTGAATTTTTCTGCTAGTAGCCTGAGGCAAACATGAAAAATGTAAAAACCCCTGCTTTTACTTCCTCTCCAGCAGAGTTCATTCTAGTCAGCAACTGAAAGAGATAAGACGCTAGAATCCATAGTATTTTAACATCACAAGTTGCTCATACAGAAATCTCGGATTTCAGCAATGCTAACTTACTGCTGCAAGCTAGGTCTTAAAGAGACTTGAGATGTAATATAAGGCCCATATTGTGCAGCTTTTCTGAGTTTCAGAGCCTGACCTGCCTTTTTTTTTTTTAATTTCATGCATGGCAGAAATAATTAAAAGAATAAGAGTTGTTTTTGGGGAACTTCCATTTTAGACCTACTGCTGGTCCCGCTAAACCTTTGTTTATCTTTCTGGTCTGTGCTTTGCTTACTTTTTTAGTCAAACATATGCTGCAAGGATTAGGAGTTCTAATTTGTAAGTTTAATGGTTATTGTATTGCTGTCTGAACTAGCTTAATTTGAGAGATGATAGCTTTATTTTGTAGCAATAAGATTAGCCTTGTCCGAATAGTAATATTCTTGTGACTGAGACTTTGATTCTCTACCTTCCTCACTGCCCCGAATGTTAAAATAGCTTTTGCCAAAGCTGATTAGAATTACTAACAGTTGGGGCTTTCAATGCTGTAACGAAGATAATGAGGTGTTTGTTCTGTTGTTGTGACAATCGTTGAAGGTCATATATGCCAGTACTCATGTATAGCAAGGGCTGAATTTGTAATCTCAAGCTACTTCTTAGTTCACCGTGATCTGATATTCTTCATAGAAACTATGCCTCCAAAGCATGATACTTAGCAAATATTTTTGTAAAGGAGCAACAGCCATGCAGTGGCAACATTTGAGGAAATAGTGACCACCATCTAATAACCATTCTCCTCTCCTCTGCTTGTACCAGAGATGACTTCCAGTGTAGTGTGCAGATAATACTGTGTTCTCATGTGGCTGTTAGCAACTGCTCCCTTAAAAAAGGTTGTTGGAAGAAAATGATATCACAGATAACTGTAGTCCTTAGAGCCTGCGAGACTAAGGAAGGACGTGGTAGGTGGGATTTGTCTAAGTGCTGTCACTCACTTTGATACGGGAAGAATTAGTCTGATACTATGCATTTCTGAATATGCCATCACAACCTATGGAGGCATCTTGCTCCCAGTGTAAACTACTGAGTTTGTTACTACATTGCAAATGCCAGGGTACTCTAAGATACTAGAGATAAGTGGGGTTTTGTGTTTTTTGTTGGTTTTTTTTTTAAATTGAATTACAGTATACCTCTACATTATGCAGTTTCTTCTTCCGAGAAGAAGAGTGGTACTGTTGTGAGTCTTGGATGCTGGTCTTGGTTTTATTCCAACACTCATCATTATAGAATTGACAGCAAAAGGTCCACATTTGTGGACCTCAGGAATTTCAGCTGTAGGAAGAACAGAATTTACCTGCCTATTCATTATGAATGTTACGAGGAGGATGATGTAGTTCCAGAGTAGTTAGTTGATAGTGAAGAAAACTATTACACAGGTAATATTTAGAGGGCAGGAACTT